AGGAGGTGAACGATCTGGAGGAGAAACTGTTCAACTATGAATCGCAGTATCATCGTCTCCAAGCAGAGACGCAGATCTTCATGCTTCATAAGGAACGAGTTGGGAATGAAGTGAAGAAATATTTGACGCCAGGAGATAAAAAATCCATCAGGTCTTGCAACTCTTTTTCTTCATCCCCATAGACTCGGATATGCAACGTTCCTCGTATCGATAGCTTCGCAACAGAGGCGTCCTTATACAGGGTGTCCTAAATTGACGTAGGGCCCCAGAATTAAATGTGAAGGTGAAACCCAAGTTCCATCTTCAGGACAAGTTATCTGGCGTTGAAAGCAACTGCCAATACCTCTTTGCCCTTTACCAGCTTTTCGCGAAGTTTGTGACGCTATGGCTAGTTTTACCTGCCTATCACCACATTTTCCAAGATCTTGTGATTTCCTTCCTAAAATTTAGGATAGTGTTTCCTTAGTACCAGATGTCAGAAAGGAGGTTCTGTTGCGAAGCGCAAAGCTTTAGGAAGGGCAGCTCTTAAAATTACACCTATTCGGTAGCTATACTGTTTACGAGGTATACGTCTCTCCTCAATTACCTCTTCTAAAACCTTCGTCAGAAGGTTGGGAAGCAACTGAAGGAAGAGCAGAAAAACCTGAAACTGTGAGTAGGGCCGTGCAGAGCAGTCTTTGTTTAGACCTTGCTAAACGAGTCCATGAGTTGAGCTAAAGACAGAGATAACCCCAAGAAGGGCCGAGATCAAAAGAAAAACTAGCTCGCTTCCAGAAGAAGGTCCGTCCTTGGTAGATTTCAATGAATGACAGATAAAAGTCGAGTTGACAGGTTTGATGCTGAAAACTCCAAGAAGCAGTACTTCATACTGGCAATTTCTTGCAGAATGATGGAGTGCAAACGTGAGTGCTTCGAACTGACGAGAGGAGGGTCTTCTCAGTTTACAAGGGGAAGGGAAGGAGAAGCCCTTATACTTTGAAGTCTCCAGTGCGGAACGCTTCATCATCGTTCAACGTTATCCAACGTCCTCACCAACCCATTTGCATTCTCCTCTCTTTTCCTGTCTGAACCAATACTTGGGTGGCAAGTTGATGAAATAGAAGTATTCTTGGGAAAACCCATGAACGGGTCTAGAAAGTCAATAAGCGAATACAAGATTTCTCTCCAGGAGCATCCATGAGTTCCCCCCCCCAAAAAAAAAGGATTCTCAAGCCTGAGAACTTAATTTCGATTTTGCTAAATTTACAAGAAGCTTCAGCAATCGCCCAATTGTTTCCTTTCAAATGCGAAATTGCGTCACCTAAGACGAAGGTGCCGAGAAGTTACCTTGTAAACACCAGAGGTTCCTACCGCGAACGAAAGTTCTGTAAGTTTTATACATTTTAACTTATTCCTCAGTTACCTAAAGTATTGTAAAAGCCTAAAGTAATAGCATTTCTCTTGTGCTCTGCGGCAGAGGTCTCGGCCTTATGACTATCCTTTCTAGGGTAGTCAGTATGGCCAGAGCAAACATAGACTTGATCGAGGTAGGTCTAACGAAAACTAGATGCAAAGTTTGTGGTATTCCTAAATTTTGTCAAAATTTTGACGCGTTATATTTTGGGATCGGTTTCATATAGGAAATAAAACTACAAAACTTGTATCGGCATCATTCTCCACAACACAGTGCATGAATTAAAAAAAAATTGAATCCATGCTGGACGAGCAACCAATTTCCTGGTTTCTGACAATTTTACATGCCATGCAACGCAACACTCAGTGCTTATTGGTTTATCGAGTATGTCACAAATACTATCGAGAACATTATATTTTTAATGAGATTAAAATCTCTTTAAAAAATATAATGGTCACATTATCCAAGTACCAAACCTTTAATTAAAAAATAACATCCCACTTAAGAAAGCAGTAAGAATAATTTGAGGGCATTTCCCCCCTTAAGTATGGATCGCTACATTCCTTTGAATATACCCTGAAAATCCCCAATAGTTTTCTCACATGTATACCTTAACATGAAAATATACTCAAAACCTAAAATAAGAAAACATTTCAAGCATTACGTCAGATTAATCATTGTCACGTAGATTAAATGTATTCACGTCACATGTTTAGAAAGCTTATGAAAATAACTAAATACATAAGTTTAAATTTTAAATACCAAATTTGACCAAAGTAGACTTTAAAACTAGTCACACCGCCAAATTCAGGGTATTAATGATACCATGATTCGTCGCAAGTGATGAATAATTTTAAGAATTGTGTCTCTACAATAAATGTGGTTCATCAATTTTTCGCTATTTCATCGCGGGCAACTCACACATCAGATTCTTCGGGGGATGCAGTCGCCGATAAGTCACTAATCATTCGAAAAAACTTGTCGCCTGTAAAAGTAGTAGTATACTCATTGAAGTCTGGATACTGATAGAAAAGGATGGCTTAGACTTTTTGTTTTGACAGATCTTCATCTGCCTTTAAAAGAATAGACAAACTCTTCAGCAATGCATTTGGAAACCTGTTGTTGAGCTGTGCGTCATTCTCAGCCATCACTAATTTGCACTTCGTCAGAGGAAGAGTTAAGAGAACCATTAATGGGTTTTGCCTGAATTATATCAAAGTCTTAGCCGTTTACTGAAAAGTCCTTCTTGGCCTCGCTTTGAGTCAAGATGTTCCTAGGGTTTCTGAAGACTTCTTACCAACTGCTGTATATATATATTTAAATCTCAAAATCCTCATCTTTCATAAGTTGCATTTATCCTCATCATGGGACATTTAGACTCAGTGTACAATTAAAAAAAAAAGTGATGATTCAGAAGCAAATTCAAATGTGCCTATTTACTTTTCAACAATATGAAGTCCGATCAGATTTCAGCGATATCTCACTTCATTATTCAAACATAAGTCATTTATTATAGTTTCATTAAAATGACTGACTATATGTCAACATCATTGAAACGCTCATCTGAGTCCTGATTCTTGACTATCTTTGAATATTTTATGAGCTGCAAAAACTTAACTGTAACACTAGGGTCCATGTTCATAGCTTGATGCAAAAGCACAAGAATGCCAATACCACTTTCAAAGTTCTAAATAGATATTGATGTTACACTAGCTCTTGGCTTTTCTTTAAGTCCATGTTATGTTTCCTTTCAATTGTCTCATGTAAACAGCCTCAATTCTATATTTAAACAAAAATTTTAATTGTAAAAATTGATCTGGAATGCAAAAATATGCCAAAGTTGCTAATGTTAAACTGTCAGGAGTCCTACCCAAGGAAGAACGAGGGAGATATGTCAGTCTTGGAACTTCATAAACACCCCAGTGGCAGCTCGTGATATGCAGCAGCAGTAGTTCCTCATTGTTGACTGGTCTCCCATCTCCACAGACAAACTGCATGTGCTTCTGCTGCATATCATGAGTCACTACTGAAACACCCCCAGTATACAGCCAAAGGCTCTAAAGGCTGTGTTCTTTGAGATCATGCTGCAGCACAATGATCAGCAATCAGCATATAAATAGACTGTGTTAAGGGTGAACACATTCACAACCTATCAGGTCGAAGTAAGGCATAAGAAAACTTACATACAGCATACATAAAATCTTCAGGTTGGACAGTCTTGAAAATGTTCATGTTCAGGCAAAATTACAAATGCCACAGGCATGGTTCTGTGTTTAGGATTCAAGTAAATGCCTCAGGTAAAGTTACTTGTGCCAGAGTTTTAGGACGCAAATTTTACCCCTGCAAAATGTCGATACCTTCACAACACGCCTGATGAGTTGCTTCCTCGGCATAAGAGCATGATCCTAAATGGTTCTCACTTTTTAAAAAGAAGCTTTGGCTTTCATCTACCACCAGTTATAGTAGAGCACTTTATAATCTCAGAGCATCTTCGCACAGCTGCAACAAAGACAAAATGCTATAAATAAACTCCACAACCTTCTGCCTCAAATACTGCCCATACCAAGAGTTGAAGGGGTACACCAAAGCATTTTATTAACACTGTCAATGGTGCCCCTCAAAAACTTGGGAGGGAAATACAGCATGAGCATGGTGGAGACTTTATTTGCACTAATTTCTACAGTCAACAGCCCCAATAAGTGGGGGGGGGGGGGGGGGGGGGGGAGGAGGATTTCAGACAGTAATCACTTATGTACATGCAAAATGTGAATCTGAAAGAAGTTCCTCCTGACCAGTGTGCAATGACCAGGAGTACTCAAGGATTCCAAGAAGCCTTGTGTTTTCTTTCAATCACTGGATAAACTGCACCAAACATCACACAATGTAGATAAGTGACAGAATGTGACAGAGGTGGTGGTGTGAGTAGGTATGCCACTTTCCCTTCTATCACTTTCTTCTTGTAAGTCATTGTCCATCATTACCCATTGATCCTTCATCCCCTCTCTTTAGACACTCCATTCAAAGGGATGCAGCAGATGAAAGACAATAAAGCCAAATGAGAATGTGTTCAGAATGCCAGAGGGTCTACAAGCCAAGTTTTCTCAAAAGCATAATAAACGGAACAGGGAGCTTCAACATGAAGAACCACTTGCATGGATAAATACATGGCTAGACCTCATGAATGCAAGATGTAAAAACAGATAGGAGAAAAACCTGGGAGACAAAGAGACACCAAATTGGAAATCATAAAGCAATATGAAGGGAAGAAGGAGATATCTCCTTGTCATCTTATCAAATTTTGGTATGGCTGTGATTGCTGAAGAATCTGAACAGGTCAGGGCAGCCCAATGTTGCTTATAGGATTAATTTTCCAAGAAAGAGACAGAAGATGACAAGAGCAACTAATCCTGTCATCACTTTTGGGGTCAATGCGACAGTCTGGTAAGCGTAGTTTTGGGAGAGATGCTGACTATTGAATGATTCCATGGGATCATCTCCACCATCTCCTACCTTCCGCTGCCTCAACATCGAATCTCTCTGCAAGAAGAAACTCTCACTATATAATGCAAGAAAATAAAAATGCAGCAACTCAATTCGTGTTAATGAGTCTTTCCAAGGAACTCCTATTAAGATAAGGCTTGAAGTGTGATATTGTGACTTGAAGCAAGCCATCCTCACAGAGAAGAAGTTATGAAGCCATCTTCACTTTACTGCAACTAACTTCCCTCCAGATTCAATTCAGTGGTTCAAACAGATAAAGGAAACATTTATTAAAATCAGTTTAAATCAAAGATAAAAAGCCAGAACTATGTGAATTACTATGAGACTTTGGATATTATTCAACACTCACCTCATATTCTCATATCCAGATATGAAACTAATCATTCAATTGCTCAGTAATTCTCCACATCCCATTGAATTAAAGCAACAAACTTCTTGAGATTTGAGGGATTTCAAATAGCTTTAACACAGGAAGGGCAGGAAGTTATCTCATTTGTTCTGTAATAATACCAAACTCAAAACTTTCAAGAATTAATACCTTTAAAATAATTGGAAAATATATTTAAATTTTTTATTATCTCTCATTTGCAGCATTTCATATGAAAGGGGCCTAATTGAAACCAGCCATTGTTCATTCCTTCACAAGGTGTATTAGGATGGAATGACTCTGATGCAATTAATTTGGTCTTGTGTTTTCAAAGATCGTTACACCTCTGATGAGACACAAGATCCAGGAAAACCTCATAGGATCTGTAAATTTTACCATTTCATGATTTTCCCCTTTGTGCCAAATTTGGGTGTCAACACATGAAAGCCCTGTGAGTTGAAATGCAGCATACCACAACACTTACCAAACTAGAAAGCTCCTGCTTCAAGCTGCTGTTCTCATCACGAAGTTTCCTGATCATGTCTGCTGCTTCTGTGAGTCTTGGGTCCCGAGATGCTGGTTCTTGCTGAAAATACATGATTACTTAAGAGATATATGACAGCTCCATGGAGCAATAAATGAATATAACAAATAGGGATGCACCAACCCAGGATTAGCTGCTACCGATACCGATAGCTGTCAGAAATGAAACCACAATACAGGACCAGACCTTAGTAGGCCTTATGCTACCTTTGGCATAGATAAGATAAATTAAAAAAATCCTCAGACACTAATGACCTGACATTCGAAGTTCCCGTCATTTATTTAGCTTTGGAGACATTTACCTTGGCAAAATATTAGCTTCTTGAGTATAGACCAAAACTTCCCCTACCGTTCACCAGGCCCACCAAGAATATGTCGGATGTAAGCACTATGTACAACGAAAGTTTGGTGCGAAGAGGAGTAGAGGTAGGAACTACATCTAATGTCCTTAAGGCAGTGGCGTATTTTACAGGGGGTGAGAGGGGGCAGCTGCTCCCCCTGGCGCCCCCTTGGAAATAATACGAAGGGCATACTAAAAGTATCAAGACTCTGGCTATAATTTTCTTAATGTGTTTGCCGTGAAAATCTAATCCAGTTTCCTTCAATGTGTAAAAAATATGCAATTCACACTCTCTCTTATGATTAAGAAAATACAGGCAGCGAAAGGAACACATGCACCAGAAATTCCAGATGCGACAACACATTCAGTCATCTTGTGGATCATCATGAACCTTCTCCATGTAGTCCCCTTTGAGGGGGACGCATTTCTGCCACCACAATTCACACTTGCAGATTGATGGCCTGAACCCACAGTGGTTCAGGTCATCAATCCGCATCATCAGTTCAGTCAAAGGGGACTACATGGAGAAAGTTCATGATGATCCACAAGATGACTGAATGTGATGTCTGGAATTTCTGGTGCATGTGTTCCTTTCACTGCCTGTATTTTCTTCATCATAAGAGAGAGCAACTTGCACTTCTGAGTGTGAATTGCATATTTGTTACATATTGAAGGAAACTGGATTAGATTTTTGTGGCAAACACATTAAGAAAATAATAGCCAGTCTCTCGATACTTTTGGTACACCCCTCATAATTTCCTTACCTGATATCGCTAGGGTAGGTTATGGTGCCCCCGTGCTGTTGCACTGCTCCCTCAGCCAAAAATACGCCACAGCCTTAAGGGATTAAGGAGTTTATGCAACTACTGTACAACCAGAATCAGTGCTTGGGGGGAGAGCTGGAGGCAGGATGGATGCGAGCACGTAGTGCACCTGCGCAAACCAGTCAGCTCAGGAAGGCAAGAGACAGGACTGAAGGGGGGAAAGTGAAGGAATGAATGCGTAAGCGCGAATGACACTGGCCCATTCCATTCGTTCAATGCCCCTCTCAAATCTCTTGCATTTCACTTCAACCATGCTCAAGTTCATTGTCAGTTGGAGATTAAAATGAACTATGACGGACATAAGGAACCGAATGCCATTACGAGTGTGGTATTTTTCATGATATGTTCCAAACATTTACGTGCTACACATCAAGTACAGCTTGCAGCAGGGGAGAATCAAATCGGATCTGCCGATAATGACACTGGATTGGTATTGATGCATCCCTAATAACAAATAATCATCTGAGAAAAATCCAATTTCAAGAAAACCACTGTACCATCTGGATAAATATATAGCAATGTCAGCTTTGCAACAGGCAATTCAATCTACTTAATGACTTGCATACAGTGTGTCCATTGTGTACTTGCAGGCATATGGTACAGATTAACCCTTTGTCATTGACTTCATAGACTATAAGATAGTCTCATAATCTAAGTGACAGGACATAGTCAGATAGCTTGTTACACTATAAATATCTTCAAAACAACTCCAATTGATAAATGAAGTCACTTTCATGCAATGGTAAGCACATTAGTAACATTATATGTATTCAATACAAGTATAAACATAAAATATTGTGCCTGAGCAACTGAAAAATGTCAATGCCAATGGGTTAAAGAGGGTGAATTAAGGCTTTTACAAGCCAGTTTTATGGTAAGTAGCAGAAGAACACCAGGTAGCATGCACCGGAAAGTAAAGGTTGAATTGCTAGCAGAACTACAAGGGGCAGTTCCTGGACTTTCCCCCTTAACTTTTAGTTTCTCATTGAGAAGACCCAAATTTGTCACTAAAATTTTGTGGTTGGAGTGGCTTCCTGTGGATGATTTTCAAAATAATGGAGTCAAGTACTGACTAGTACTTGCTAAAATACTAATGAATCCTCATTAGAAGCAGTATGAAGAGCATGAGTTATCAATTTACAGTTTGAAGGGATGAATAAAAGCATTTATGCAAGAGATCACATGTTTCCATTAAAATATAACTTGATAACTTTGCTTGCCCTGTGCCCAACTGAGCATAGGTATAGGGATTGAAAATTTTTAAATTATTGTATGCATCGTTCACCAAAGCTTCCATTCATGAAGAACTGGTCTTCAAGCAGGGAATCCACCCAGATATTGTCCTCTCAATGGTAACCATGGCCATCAACCATCAGCCTATTTGCAGCTGATAGTATCAAGAAAAATATTGAAATTAGAAATTGATTTTGTGTATTTGGAAATATCATAATTGCTTTATGTAAAAAAAAAAACTGAGGAAAACAAGCAAAAAATAACTTGTGACTGAAAAGGTTAGGATGGAACTTTCTCTTGCTTACTTTGACAGGAGACTTGTCTCCAACAGGGGATTTTGAGTCATCACTTTTTGGAGTGGCTTCTGTGTTTGGTAGTGACACTTCCTCTCCGCCACTGCCACCAACAGCAGCTCCTGGTAGCTCAAATAGACATCGCAGCTTCGAATCCATGATCTGTTCAGAGCATTTCATCCACTGCAAGAAAACTTGCATTAATAAGTAAACCCTGGACAGATACCATTTTTTTATTATTATATTACTATCACTTTTTGGTTCCTAGGGAAATGCATCAGGGAAAATGCATACAGAAAAACAGAAATCAAGCAAAGAATTCAAATTTAGCATGTAGAACACCAACTACTTGACATCGCCTTAAAATAACCTACTGAAACAAAATTTTTTCCATGAGTTCACTGAATTGTATGAATGAGTGAATGACAGACACATAATCAACCTGCAGCCTGAATAGCTGGCCCACTTGCAACAAAATATTCTAAAATGATTCATTGCCAATGAGATGTACATTAGGTGCTTAATGGTTTTGTGCAAAAATTGTGTCACATTCCAGTGATTTGAGGATTCCCAAAGATTAATATCATGGATGGTGGTAAAACCAAGCTTGCAACTGACTGTCACACATCCTTGTCTCTGAACAAACCTCTGTTGTAAAATTCTCTCCTGTTCTTCCTTCTTACCACCAGCTCAGTATTGTACTACTCAAGACACATGGGCATCTTTTTGGAGATGGAATCTTTGACTGCAGACAAGCAGAGAGATGATTGCCACATTGCTAAATGCCAATGGAATGGCACCAGGCAAAAACAGGAAATGTGGATTACAGGTCAGGATATGTTATGGAGAAACAAAGCAATGAGTCTATCTAAGCCCATGTGATGGCATGGGTTCCAGAACATCATAACTGATGCTAACAATAACATCTTGCCTGTATGACCCAAGCAGCTTACAAAGCTGACTGAGGATGAGGAATTTTGAGGGTGAGAAGTTAAAACTGAACCTGCATGAGGCATAAGCAACATTTCCACTTATAATGGGGATCTGGAGCTTTCAAGAGTTCACAAGAAAAAAACTGCTGCAGATAAAAATTAATTAATTTGGCAATATCATTCATCAAAATAAAAAGGCCACCAAAAAGCATGCAAGCACATATATGAGGGCTAACTGTGACAGGATGAGCTGGCCACTGAACTTCTTCCTAGAGCCTGAATAGACCCACTGAAAAAATGCAAAATTAGGGACAAGAAGAGATCCTTACCATGGCTTCATTGTATTCTTCATTCTCTGGGACAATGAGGCTTTGAACCATGAATTTATGTCTATTACGCTCCACAGGGTCATATTCAAATGGTTGGAGCATTACTGAAAAGAGAGAACATTTCATTGCATAAGGGAAGAAAACCATTTGGCATCATAAGAAATAAGGATGGATGCCACTCACAAGAGACTTTAGCTTGTCCATTGGGCTTTATTACTCCTGAATTTGGCCGGACACAGTACCGCTTGGGGGCTGTAGTTTTTATCTTGAAGGCAACCTTGTTCTCTGTTGAATTTGTGAGTGTCAATGTTGATGTTACAATATCAGTAAATGGACCTGAAAAGAAATAGTATAAATAAGCAAGGCATACCATATGCTAATTCTGCACAAAAAGAAGATACAACAGCATTGAATGATTGAGAAAGTATTCCAATGTACACTTCCCAATTGCAAAAAATGGCATTCACCATCAAGTTGAGGTGAAAATTTATTCACAAGAACAAGGTGTGAATCTGTGATTAAGCAGTTAGTCTCATCAAAACAAGGCAAGTAGGACTATCAGCTGGGACTCATGCTCATAATCATAAAGGCACAATACTGTAGTTTCTTAATGGATATAGGTACTAATAAAAAATTCCAGCTATTCCTAATCTGTTTTTTTTTCAGCCACATGATCAACTCAACAACATGGGTGACTACACAAACTTGTTTGAGCATCTGATGAATACTGCTTGAAATTTACCATACTAAATGCTGTAGATATACAGGAAATACAGGAAATTTTAAAAAGTCTATAGCATGAAAACTTTTACTCAACTTATTAAATTACAATGCAAATTTAATTCCATAGAAATGTATAAAATTGTGATGCATTAGCACATGAAGCTAACACAAGGTGGGAGTTGAGGCATGATGTGCTTCCATGTCATGCAATTAGAGCATTTGCAGAGTCTTCTCTGTGAAGAATCATTTACTTTAAAACAGTCTAAACCATTGCATGAATATATCTCCATGATTGATGCTTCACTGATGACTTATGCCTCAAAATCTTCTTGTTTGTATGTGAAGGGTTTTTGGCATTCTCAGCATTGTATTTCTCACAATTTGTGGTATCACAAGCAATTCCACCACTTACATACTCTTCATCAACTCTATCTCCATCCTAGCATTTAATGTTGCACAGATGGTAGGATACAGACAAATATTTAAATCTGACCATAGGATTAAAGTCATATACTGAAACATTTTATTTATTGAATAGTGCTAGGAATAGGTTATAAACTGAATGATTTAAAAAAATGAAATGACCAGTGGAAGTACGGGTGAATATGATTGCACACGTTCAATAAAGCCTACTCTGGTATCGCTTCCTCCTAAACTGCTTTGCTCTCTATTTGATGCCATGACTCATACATCAGAACCATAATTCTCCTTGTAGACTTTTGCCCAGAGGATGCTCATATTGAAACATAACACAGTAGGGTGACATTGTCAGTAGGGTTCTATGGTCTTATGTTAAACAAAAGGTTTTAAGGCTACATGGTGCATGCACTCCTAACACCACACACATTGTGAAAGTGATTGAATGAGAAGCAACCATGAGTTTCTTTAAATATAATTTTTTAAAATACAGATATGAATGAATTTAAATGAGCATTCAGTACTGGTCAATTAATTAAAAGTTGGTCCTTTCACTGGTCTATTGACCATTCCATCCCTAGTCTGCACATTCAAGTGAGTTAATGATGTTCCCTATCAGTACAAGATTGCATGGCCTGAACAAAAAAAAACAGGGAAGACAGGTTGTAGCGAATAAGAATTATGGAAGTGTGAATGGGGATAGGTGGCAATAATATTCCAGCTTAACAAGCCCTCATATGAGAAAAAGAGACTGGAATTCAATGCTAGTATATATTCTTACATTTCTCCTGCAGAAGAACAAAATATCAGAACATAAAAATATGGTAATTGTTAATATTGTGGGACCTGATTTTTATTTTCTGACTTGCTTTTTCTGTTTCATTTCTTTGCCTTGAGAATTGGTGAAGGTAATACAGCATGAAAATCTAGTCTAATGATGAAAAGCCTTATCTAAAAAGGGCTGAATAATGGAACTAACCTTCAAATTTGAGTAGATGAGGAGGGTCCAAGATCAACACTTGCTGAACCTTTTCACTTGTCATTCTACATGAAGCAGCTTCAAACCTACAGAAACAAAGCAATCCTGGTATATGTCTACATCATTAGGCTGAGCACTAATACAAGATAAATATGTGTATGTTTGTCTCAGATATGTTATGTATGCAGTTCAACTTGTAATTCAACTTTAAAAAAGGCCAACACTGGACATAGCCACACAAGAGCAGTTCACTAATAAAATAACATTGCACTATTCAGAAGCCAGAATCCAGAACTTGATGCAAGTTTAATCAGGATTTAACAAGTAAGTCTTTCAGGTCACCAGTGGTGACCTGAATTAAAATTCCTCCTTCCCCCTCTTAGCCAAAAAACATTTATGTTGTTGAGTTATATTGGGTATGGAGTGATTAATTTGGAACTGATTTGGATTATTTTCAGATTAAGATATCAAAATGGCTGGCACTTATGACAATGATAGACAAAATGCCATTAATATAATTAAATGTATTACATTTCAAGAAGCTCAAGATGGTGGTGCCAGATTTACCATGAAAGACTGGATTGCTAGAACTCTTGGCAGATCTGACAGGTGAGTAAAAGAAACAGAAGAAAAGTGCAGAAGGATGTTGGATTGAGAGGGGGGAAGGCAGGCCACCAAAGAAGCCTCAAGAAAGCAGAGACATTGCAGCCAGTCGGCTTCAGAAAGAAATTGAAAAAATTCCTCTGGGCTTTGCAAAAACCAAACCCAAAACACTATCTTGTCTGGGCCTTGTATGTCAAAGACACTTCTAAAGATGAGATTTTGTAGCCTCCTTCAAAAATCAGCCTGTATTGGTGTCTTCCTCATCTTCACTGCTTGGAAACTGATGTGTGTCTTCAAAGAGCATGGGAAAACATGAGATGACCAATATGCATGGCAAAAAATACTGGCCCAACATGTCATTCCCTTTCTTTGAGATGAGGGCAAGATAAGGCACTTGTCACCTTTATTCAAGACAAAGCTCATGCATGAAAGCCAATGAAACTCAAGCAATGCTGAGAGCATGGGCGTCCGCTCCCAGGGGCAAGGGAGGGGCACTTGCACCCCCCCTGGAAATTGGGCATGGCAATTTACTGGTAGTACTATACAAGAAATTAATTGTACTTCATGTGGAAATCTCTTCTTCTGTAGCACCATTTAGACCAATCTTGCCACGCAATATGAAACATCCTAATGAGTTAAAAATTCAACTCAACCCATCTGGTCCAGAGGTTCCGGTAACACTACTGCTCTACATAACATCGCGCCAAAGCTGAAGATCGTACAACATGGAATGCAAGTATCCCAGGCTGAATGGCTATTTCACGTAATTTTTGCAGTTAGGTAATTCCATCTCAAGTCAGCCAGAGGCCGGAGCATGACCCCGTCTGATTTTGATGAAAATTTTTAATGTGGTACCCCTCATGACCGAAAGTCTGAATTTTGAAGAACAATGGTGTTCGCTGCGTTCGGTTTGGTCAGAAAGTTTTTGGCCCACGTGTGTGAAGAAGTGCACCTTTCTTTAATTTCACAAAATTTAACAAATTATTGTGCTAAAACGGTTCCATACCCAAAACTAAAATTTTACATTCTAACTTTCGGTCATGAGGGGTACCACATTAAAAATTTTCATCAAAATCAGACGGGGTCATGCTCCGGCCTCTGGCTGACTTGAGATGGAATTACCCTGGTATAATTCCTTGTACTTAGAACTCGCCACTGCTTACATCATATTGCTTTTACACTGTATCCCCATATTGCTGCAAACTGCTGGTTGAATTGAAGGCAATCTTGAGCTGTAAGAAAATTATTGTGCTAAAACGGTTCCATACCCAAAACTAAAATTTTACATTCTAACTTTGGGTCATGAGGGGTACCACATTAAAAATTTTCATCAAAATCAGAGGGGGTCATGCTCCAGCCTCTGGCTGACTTGAGATGGAATTACCCTGGTATAATTCCTTGTACTTTATCATCATTTTACAAAAGATAAATTACCCTTGTGTGTGCATCTATTCTGCCATTCTTGTGCCTTGCCTCCCCCCTGGGAATAAACCAGCAGACACCCATGGCTGAGAGTGAACAGGGTTGACTTCTGGGGAAATGACATTTGGTGGGTAACTACCCATATACAGCAGATAATTATCCTTATCAAACAGAAAATCTCAGAGCTGTGATGAAAGTTTAAGTGGTGAACCTGATGCAACAGTAAATGCTATAAAACAGGAATTCCCCAGAAGTCCTCCAGAGAAACCTTGCACAGGTGTTCCAAGACATAAAAATCAAACAGATTTGCTATGAGAAATACTGGAATCCTACCCTTGTCACCTTAAGGCTGTTTATCTCAGGTGGTGGTCACACTATTAAAATGTCATTTAAGTCCCATTTAAATTCAGAAATTCATTGGTTTTTCCCTGTTTTTTTATTTATTTTAAGCTGCATAGGGAGAGAAAACAGTTCTGTCCCACACCATATAGGATATCTCTTAGAATTTTGGACATTGTAACAGATGGAAGGAAAAAGGTCTCAATTTAATGCAATCATGATAACAAAAAGAAGGGGGCACTTATAATGTTGGTCAACACCAGCTGTTCTTTGTAGAAAATTATTTTTACTGACAATAAATAAATGTGCCATAAAGACTAGGATGACTGTATTGAATCTAGCTTCAGAATAAAAATGGCAATTTGTCATAGCTAACACAAAAGTGAGATGAATAGAAAATATTCCAACTGCATTCTGAAGATGATCTTGAGTACTTACCTTTCTAAGGGAAGTGAAAATCTAGAGAAAAAAATGTCTAATTGATAAAAACTAGAAAATAAATGTAAATAAAAATTAAAAAATTCATTAATTTCTATAACATGACCCATTAACACAGGAACAGGGAAATCACTAAAGAACTTGAAGATTCCCAAAATAACACCAATCTACATAGGAGGCTCGAAAAAAAAAGCAATGCATCATTGAAGATCGTTCTGATCAAGTAAAAACAACATAAAAATTGCAAATCATCTATTTTTTCTCATCTTTTTCAACTGTCAAATCATGAAAGTCAGGTGGACCATTCCAACCCAGATACCAAACAAACCTTCAGTTCTCTAGGAGCTAAAAAAAAAATGGTCTTCATTTCTGAAATTTCCTTACTATTTCTCTATTTACTTCATTCGTGCGTATTGTGTATAGCCTAATGTTAAGTTATATACAATCTGCTCCTGTTTTTTCCACATTCCGTTGTTCTTCCTTGTGCACTGAGTTTTCCGCAACAAGAGCTCTCGCTTGCGTATCATAGCCAAAAATTTAAGTATAAATTAATGCACCTCATCCTTGCATATTTCGCAAATAATTACCTCAAATTCTTTTCAGACCCAATTGAAAGCAGACTACTGCTCGCGTTTTTTATTTGCATGGGTTAGGCCTAACTTCGGCAAAGGTCCACCCATGGTTTTAACAGCCTTAGCATGGACTTTCCATCGCCTATGATAGTCCCGTACCACTGAGTACACGGACAGTAGACCTAAGCCTATGTCAAGCCTGATGACTAGGTCTCACTCTCACCAACAGACCCTTATGATGATGACCAGACATGGTTCGAGGCTGGCAACTAGCCATAGCTGACAAGTATGGTGTACCTCTCGCTAGATGACTCTCATTGTATCTCGTATCTCAGCTCAAACCATTCTCCTTTACTGTGGATTCCAAAATGCCTATTTTATTTGGAGGAAATCAGTTCTATTACCTAGAAGAAATGGAGGAAGGAATTCTATGAAGGCCGTGAAAGAGAACGTGAAGCATTGGACGATGCCTTTAACTTACTCGGAGATCACATCAACATAGCTGTAAGGAACTGGGAAGTGGATAGAGGTGTTTAAGCAATAATTCATCTTTGAATCGAATAGGCCTATCTTATTTTATATTACTGCTTGAACTCTACGCGGGATTTTATAATGGGCAGAAGTGGCACCTGACATCCCCATCCGAACCTTGATTCACAAAATACCACAAACTCACAACGGTGAATAAATTACCGGGCGCAAAATAGTGACGTCAGGTTTATGGCTGCTCCTACTTAGACCCACGTAGACTTCAGGTGAAATACTTCTGCCTTCGTTTGGGACAGATCGACAGTCTAAGAGTAAAGGTCATTCATCCAGCAATGTTGTAAGGTGCCTGGTCCATTTATTTTGATGCAAGGTGTCCCAGGTCCAAATGGTATCACAGTGAACCTAGAGTGACCATATTTTTCTGGAAAAGCCGGGAAATTTTCAAGAAAATGCCGAAATGTTAGTCTCCGCTATGCGATAAATAACCGGGATGTTTGGTCACCTTAACTTAAAGGCGAAGCCTTAATTCTGATAACCTTTAACAATGCCATTGGTGAAAGTGGAAATGTTACGCGTCTGCCACCAAGATAGGCATGTTTTCTCGAGTCCTCAAAGCAAGCTATGCAGGGAAGAGAGGAGGGCTACACTTAGTTTCAAATGAAAGTAAAGAATTGAGACCAGTTTTTTGGTAGAATCCAGGAGGAAGCGAATGAAACAAAGATAATGGTATCATTGAGAGGGGTGGACCTCCGATCTACATGAATCAATGCATCATGCTGTAGAGCAGGGGTGTGCATCCTTTATCGGCAGTGGGCCGCATGGAAATGTGTGATTCTTGACGCAGGTCACAGAATGCAAAAGAGAAAAGGCTCCCCTCTTTTGTCCTCGGGGCACATGAGGGCATAAGGTCATGCTGATTTTCCAATGATCCTTGCCTCCTCCCCACCCCTAGGAAATTCCAACATCCAAAAATAGCCTTTGGCATTGAGAAACTTCTTCCTCTGGACATATGCAGCACTGCCTGCGTGAGGAAAAATTAGAAGGAAGTGAAAGGACTCAGTCGATTTCTTGTTACTAAGAGATGACCAAAGTTGTGATGGGCCTTTGGCTGCAAAGACACTCATCTGTTATCCCATTATGCATTACTTGGCCAAAAGAAGCAGGTCCATGGGCCACATGCAGTCCGTGGGTTGCACATCCCTGCTGTAGAGAATAGTGATTTTTTCCATTGTCCATTTCCTCACAGAAGAAAGAACAGGCTTACCACTGGACCTATCTGGACCTGGATGGGTGATAGAGGAGTTCTTTTATTTCTTATAAAATTGAATAATTGTGAGATTGTGAGATTTAGAACCAAATGAAGATAGCATACAAAGGATACTAATGCACCAGCATCGATCAGAAGTTTTGGGACAACATGCAAAATACAGTTGTTTTCTCTAAAAGGAATGTCAATCTAATTGGGAAAAATAAATAAAAAATTAGATAACCTTGGATAACAATGGGTTTGCTTAATTCAATCAATAACAGTGATAACATTCATGCCAGGGTGAAACAGAACCAACATGATGAAATCCTCAGTTATCCACAGAAAACCAGAGGAAACCTAAATCTAAAATCTTGACAGAGATCCTTTTTTGAGAGTCTCTCAGGGGGCAAGTGTTAGACATGTCCAAACCACTGAACTTGAGATGTCTTGGTCTGAAGAAGTAGCTGCTCAACCTGAAGGCTTTCACAGATGGTATCATTCCACATTTCATTACACCAAAAGACTCAAGCAACTTGACATAAACCTCTTATCAATATCTTGTATCCATGATTTTGACCATTACTCTCAGTTCATGGCCATAGGTGATGGAGAGGGCATGAACACTCTTAAAAAAGCAAGGGTTTCATCTCGATGGGTATGACACCCACTTTATTAGGTTTTATGATTGGTGAAGCCTGTAACATCTCAATGAAACCTTTGACAATGTTTCTGTGGAAGCCAGCCTTGCATAGGTGTGTAATAGGGAAAGGTAGCCAAGCTTTGATTAATATGTAGTATCTTAGAGAACTCCAAATTCTGATCCAAAATTCAGGCAATGTGTTCACCTGGAACTTTACTTTTCTTTGGTAACTACATCTCAATGTAAAGTTACAATTTTTTTTGCTCATCAAATTAGTGAGTGTGTGCTCAACTGGACTGGTAGGCCAAGTTCCACCATGAGCAAAGCAAGCATCTAGAGGTTGCACCCTGACATACTAATTTGATGTTGCACAGAAAAATCATGTTACTGTGGTTCTATCAATCATACCATTGAAATCTGCAGATAATGGTCTATACATATTGGATGTGTGTCTTAATTCTGAATCTCACATGCACTTTCTGATGGGTTGCAAAGAGTTACTTCATATAAGGCAAGAATTCCCAGAAACAGTCAGACAAAATTCAAACAAGACACTTGTTGAGTTTCTACTGGATACATCCACCCTGATGGAGGTGGTCAACTCCTTTTAAGCAAAGCTATATCTTCCCGGAAAGCCAGCAAAGATAGATAAATTATGTCCACTTTGTTTACAATGCCTTTGATGATGTCCATGTTTGTTATATTTGTCTTGTTACTTCTCACGTCTTTGTCTCTAAAGCCAATTTACGTTGATTGAGTACTCTGTCAACCAATAAACTTGAATTGAATTGATATTGGATGTGACATCCTATAACTTTTCAGGTGACACCTATTTGGTGTTTTGTCTGCAGGCATAGCAATTGGGAGTGTTATATTGGGATACAGGTTATAAATAATACTGCTTTCCCTCTTGCATTGTTGTGGAATTGTGCATCAATAACCTTTGCAAGGTTCATGTTGTCTGCTAATTATCTACCTGATGATGAAGACAATGAGTAATCTGGGAGTGGACTGTATGCATGAATATTTTACAAGAAATATAAATCATTGCTTCATGTCTGTAATTCTGTTTCACATCTGTCACCACACTTCTGGATATGGGTGATGTTTCACTTTTTCCAGTCTGAAGGCCAAACCCTTTTTTTTTTAGGGACCTGCTGTCTAGGGCTGTCTGAGGAGAGTTATGGGGTCTGAGCACCATGTGATGACACATGAAGGGGCCTCATGAGGCCCAGATGATATTAGTGCATTTATCCTTCCTTAATTTGCCTATCCTATACTAACATATGAATGGTCTCCCAATTGGAGAAGTTGTTGTTGATGTGATTGCATTGGTTCAGGCTGATCTAATTTGAATATAACAGAACTGGGAGTTTGGAGTTTATACTTTTTATATCAGAGTAAATTGTCTCCTTTTCAGTGTTTCAGGAAGTTATGCCATTGTTCTCTCAATCTAAGAGTTTCAAATACCCTGAAAAAAATTTGGTGGAGTCCATGTTTTGTATTCTTTCATTAATTGAATCACTTTGGTGTAGGTGTGTATTGGATCTCTCATTTCATCTAATGTTCAAAGATATACCAGTCCCATACTGCCATCTCTTTTCTTCCTCCACTTCCACCCATGCACTCACTGTCAAGATACTCTCTCTTTTCTAGTGTTTTTCCTGCTTGAGTTTTCCATTTCCAATTCGTATCTGTTCACGTTGTCAGATTTGTCGAGGCAGCCATAGACTCACCATGCATCAGGTCAATGTAGAAGTTGATGCATTTGCATTATAAATAGCTATATGAACACCCATCATGCAAAACCATGTCCTGAAATAGCTATTGAAACTTGTCATGGGGGATATGAACAGCCAATAAAACAACTAGGCTTATTTTGCTTCACAACTCTAGCCTCACTCAATAGGATGATCACTGTTGAACTGCATTGAAAAAAAAATTGTGATTACAAGTGTATAAGAGTTTCTTTTCTCACTCCATTTAACCAAAGGTCTATTCTGATTCTAGGCAATGATGTAAATAAAACAGTTGTCTGAAAGACAACTGTTTTATTTACATCATGACAATGAGACTGAAAACTAGTATCATGCATAACATAGAGCCATAGTGATTTGAAAATTGTTTATGTAATAGGAATATTGTTGACCTCCATATTTTTCCCATCAGTCCATAGATTGTCGTGAATTGGAATGATGAGTACACAAGTACCTACAATATTATCACTCAGATTCCTGCCCTTTAGGAAGAGTGGTGAGTCTTTTATATTCCATTTTTATTTTACTTTTTTCATTCCAACCTAAGAATGTGGTGATATGTATATACTTTCACTTGGCAGGAGAAATTCCATTGAAGCTTCTATTCACATGTCATCACTATTGCACAAAGGGAGAAATAGGACTCCCTCCTAACATGGAAGAAGTTAACTGTGGAGAAAAGAGCCAGTTTTCCCCCAGTAGGGCAAGAGACATGGTGCATGAGAGGCTGGAACCAGAAGAGACAGGAGGAAGTCCAGTTACAGAGGAAGACTCATGTATGCCTCACTATGATGCTCATGCTCCCTTGCATCTCAATTCTAGTATGCAGACTTCAGTACCAGAACCATACTCAACACAAGGGAGGGCTCCAGTTCACTTGAACATGCCCGGTGGTCAGTTCACCCAGAGGCTTAAATACGAGTCAGAGGAGACACAGAATTCACATCCAAGTCATCAGCAATATCCAGGTGTGAGCAAGTCTCAATTGAAGTATTACATGGGAATGGCATGTTGCAAACAGCATGATGTATTTCGTTGCTTCTCTTCCACTCCCAACCAAGAGACACCTCCTTTGAAAAATCGACAGAAGTTGAAGCAGGCAGTCAAAGATTATGGTGCTACTGTAATTGTTTTTCACATAGGCATCTCATTGGTATCCCTAAGTGGCTTCTACTTAGCTGTGTCCAGGTAATTTCCAATTTCATTTCTTCCTGAAATGATTTTATTGAACCTTAGATTCATTCAGCCACTAAGGATTGAAAGAAGTTGTTCATGTTCTCTGCAGACTCCTATCTTGCAACTCTTTATCATCCTCACCATTTCTGGTGTATTTTAATGTGCTGAGTTACCTAACTTTTTGAAACATTTTGGGATTCTATGCATAGTATTTATGCCTTTCAAACAATGCCAACAAGGTTGGGGGTCTATTTGAAATGGGCATTATTTTCAGGTGTTACAATATGTTACCTCAGATGGGCTTGAACCTACTTGTTTATAGTGTGCTATAAAGAGACTTGCTGAGTCTCAGTGATATAGGGTTGATATTGAAGTTCTGATACTTGATGCTACAGGAAATAACAAACAAGATATATTGATACCTTCTTTGTATGCCCTTTTCACATGGTTTACTGCTAATGCACAATATCCTTTCCATCTTTGAACTCATGATTTGAAGCCCTCAATTACTTATTTTACTTGTGATACAAGTAGGTATCCTGCCATTTGACACTTAAGTGCTGGGAAGAAGTACCTTGTCAAGGTACTTGTGAATTTTGAATTTCAAGCTACATCAAAAGAAAGAGACCTGTTTTGATACAGCAAGCATGCTCCTACACATGAACAATACCCAACTGCATATGACCCATATTGCTACAGAGATAATCCACAAATTCTGGTATGAGGCTCTGCCATATCTACTTTACTGAAACATGTTGCAGAAATCTCATACCATCATATTTATACTTCCTATCCTAAAGGATCAATGACAGGCCACCAACCATTTTCAACTGGCAGATGATGTGCAGGCAAAATGTATCCTATTTCATTGCCAGCAAGAGGAGTTTGTTCTTTCTAGCTTCAAGCCATGGGTTCACAGATGGGAAAAATATCAGGTGGTACTTAAAAATTTGCTGAGGTTTTTGCATGTATTTCTCAACTTTCAGATGAGACATTGTGATTTATAGACCTCAGATGAGACATTGTGTGAATTAGAACAAAAGTTCCCATAAATAGCACCTGTATCTTTACTAATCAATGTTGTTTCATTAAATGTTTTCTTGAAGTCATTTTCCTAGATCTAATTCTAGAGTTACATCTATGCCAAACCTTCCTTTAATCATTGAACATTTTTGAAATATCTTTCCCTATTAGAAAAATTTTCCCTTAACCCATTCCTTTTTTTTAGCCCTACATGTCAATAATATTGATATTCTCTGCCTATCTTTTTCTCCTTCAAGTTCCTTTGGTTCATCCACTGCTTTTTGTACTTGAAGAGGGCAGCATTGTTAAGAAATTGAATCATGGCTCATGTTGCAGCTCAACAACAGTGAAAGAAAAAATAAAGTTTCCATGTAGCTTGAAAATGTTTGAAATGGCATATCCACCCTTTTGTCAGACTTATGTCAATATAAGGTTAATGAACTTCTTTTCCCTGTCACAGTAGCAGATCCTATGCCAATTATTGATACATCACTGAAGTCTTGATTGATAAAGAGAATTTTTACAACATATCCAACTGTGCAGGTGAAAAATGCTATTTGTAGACGAAGCATGGGAAGAGAAAGGGAGTTCTAAGCTGAAATTTTGAAAGTAAAATCAACATAAGAAAATTGTTTTCATGTGATGTTTCACTGTTCTCTGAGGCTTAGACTCCCAAGGAAGTGAGCTATTCTGCAAGATAAGAAAAGGGATGAGCTCTCCCCTGTTAGTTGTTTTTTTAAATTTAAATTCAGAGTAGGCAATAAGTTGTCTGTGACTGTAGAGGGTTCCTGATTTTTTCAACATTCATAGATGTCACTGCTTCCTTTATCGTTCTGTTTCAGTGGAGTGAACATGGAGAGTCTCCTGCAAGCTTTGGGTATAGGTCAGTCATTAATGCAAAACAAGATAGCAGCAGGAGCCAGTGTATTCATGATTGCCTATGCAGTACACAAGGTATTTGCTCCAGTTCGTATTGCCATCACCCTATCTGTGACCCCCTTCCTTGTGAGATATCTCAGACGAGTTGGCATTCTCAAGGTCCCTAAAGGATGAAGAACTCTTTTTCCTGGAAATATGATAAATAAATGAAATATTCTGAGCACTTGATCCAAATTTCATATTTATTACTTTTCTCAACACCATCAAATCACTAACTTATGGCATGGTTGGGCATTGGCCCATCAAAAGACATTGCAAGATAATACATCACAGAGAAAATATCATTGGCAAGTGTTGAAGTTTCTTTCTTATAATTGTGCTTGGCTGGCTGGTGGGTTCCTTATAGTACTGATCACCTCCTCCAATGCTCTTATCCTTTGCTTCAGGAGTGTATTCTCCTGCCTGATTTGGAGACATTCTTCTCTCATACACTCTTTCTCCATGGTATGGGTTTGAAACCCTTGAGAAGGGGACAATGATGCAATGGGAAGATGAAGAATCTTCTTCCATGGAAAGGTGGCCAGCACATCAGAAGCTGATGGCCGTTTTTCAGGATCTCTATGTGTCAATTGCTTCACCAAAGCAGCCTGGAACAACATAAGGATAGTTATTTCCCTTTTCCCTGGAAAGGATATGGTGCTCCCTGAGGTATTATGCATGCTTTCTGTCTATAGGAGAGAAAGCATGAATGAGGGATGCTTGAAAGACATCAGTTACTGCTACCTCAATGTAAAATTGGTAATTAGCACAATGGTAACTAACAATAACAAACTCCCAAGAAGTTAGTACTCAGTCACAATCAAGAAGAGGGTTAAATAACTGAAATTGCATTTTACCTGTTTTGAGAAATATATATACAGGATGTCCAAAAGTACCGTATTTACTCGTGTATAAGGCGCTTTTTTTTATAGGTATTTTATTGCGTTCGATGAGGAGGTGCGTCTTATACTAGGGGAAAAAAATTTCCTTTCCAAGAACAAAAATTTGTTCAGCGTACCTATAACTCATTGGTCACTTATTGAGGCGGAAACAGTGTCTGCAGTTAGTCAGAACAGGGGAAATATAATATTATAATAAAACAGTAAACAGGGAGTGGCTACTTCGATTCGCGGATTTCATTCGGTATCGGAATCTGAGGTGTCAGGTAGCGTGGAAAATTCATTCGCGGAGCTTTCATCCTCCTCCGAGGGGCCTTTCCAGAGACAATCATTTCTCGTGAAAATTTTTGACTCGCTGAGGTTTTCTGACGAAGAGAAAATTCAACTCGCTTCATGAATCGCCTCCTCATGATGCACTGAATTTTCGAAGGGAGATCCCGTTTGCTCTTGGAATCGTACGGGTTTGCGTCTAGATCACTCTAGTTTTACACATAGGCCATCCTTTCAAGGCCAAAAACCGGCAAACAGCGCAGGAACGAAGCGAAATGTTTACGCGGTATGCTTCATCGAGGATTTTACTACAGAAGTACGGACTCACTCTTTCACGTATTCGGCCACTTCCTTCTTGATTACCAGAAATGATCCCTTTTTCCCAACGAAAGACCATGAGATCCTTTAGAACCCGGCTCAATTTTGCCTTCACCTCCATCCGCTTCCGTATACGGCTTTCCTCAATGCCATACTTGCGACCTATTGTACAGATGCCCATCTCCTTCGCTTTCTGAATCACATTCGTTTCTCTGCAGCTGTGTAGCTTCGCCGTACATTTCCATCCATTTTCACGGATAATAAAACGAACGTTAGGATACCGAGGGATGACTGACCCACCTCGATAAAGGTCAGGACAGTGAATAAGAAACGAGATTCGACCGACCTCACGACCGGCTTTTCCCCTTATTCATCTCCCTTGTCCGACACTTTTCGCGACGAAATAGGGGGTGTGCGCCTTATACACGGGGAATCTTTTTTTTTTTTTTTTTTTTTTTTACACAGATTGGAACCTCAAAAACGGGGGTGCACTATACTGGAGTAAATACGGTAAATTCATAATTTTCAAGTAAGCTGAAAAAATAACGGATAAGTGCAGAAAGGATAAATGATAAATAAATTATGAATAATAATTTATTATCAAAAGTGTGAAACGTGTAGTGTCAAGGGTGAAATGACTTTTGGGACACCCTGTATATGTAGTTATCCATTTGTATATGAAGTCATATACATATGGATAGAACATAAACTCATGGATAGATAGACAGGTGATCTAACAGCTATGGTCCATCAACTCTGGGTGTCCCACAACAAGAATCATCAGACTATTGTCAAATGCCAGGCAGACAAAGGACACCAACCACAAAAATGTTATGAAGGAAATGATACAAAGGCACCTAGAGCATCAACAGCTAATTGAACTTGTTTCTGTGATCAACTTAACACCAGGAATAGTAAATGGAAGTCAGAAGTACTCAGCACTCCAAAGACAATGCCAGCTCAAGGCACTTTGTTCATGCGCCTTGAGGGTTAAATAATCAGAAAAATCAGGTAACTGGAAATGAATAGGAAGTTTTGACATATTAAGATGTGAAATTCTTTTAGTCAAAGTAACATGATAGCTTCACATTGGTGTTTTAATGATTATTCCAAAGAAAAGGAACAAGTTGACTAAATTAATTTTTTACAAAAACTAGAAAAACGATTTTTCAAATGAAGTTTCCACACACAAAAATACAAATTTCATTTATTTTATAAATGTTTAGCTGCTAGGTACACACAAGACTAATGGCTAAAATCTTCCTTATTTGCCTTGCCTTTCAGGTAACTCCACACACAGAAGTCCTGACAAAAAGAGCATATGTAAATAAAAAAATTTGCTCTTTTTGTCAAGACATGTAAAAAAAAAATCTAGTCTTGATTATCTCATATTTCATGCCAATCCATCTAGCTGTTCTGATGTGCCATATTCACTCAGTGCAGTTACATTATAAACTCCCTTTGTCTCTTCAATATGCATACAATGGCCAAGTACAAGTGAAGGAATATAATGATAGATGTAATTTAGAGGAAGATTCAGTGATAGAAATTCATCATGTGCATCATGTTTGAGTCTGAGTTTTCACTTCATTATCATTTACACCAATAATGAACTGTTAGAATAAATAAATATGGTAACTAAACAGCTCACTCTTTGCTTAGCCTAGTCATAAGCAAGCATTGCACTGATTGAGTCTTCCCTGTTAACAGACACAGGAATAGAATACTAACCCTAACTTCCCAAAGAAATTCACTTTCAGGGCTGGCATAAAACCAGTACAGGTAATAGGTACTGACCTGAATGGGCCAGGACTCCTGGAAAGTGTGAGGCAGTCTCCCAATGCGCAGGTCATCAAAGCATTTCCCTCTTTCCATGCCAGTTGAAAAGGAACAAAAGAGCTCAAAGAGGATCACACCAATGCTGTACATGTCTGACTGGAGAGAAATTAAACAAATGAACTTATTTCACAAACTGAAAATTTTAGAGTTCATTCATCACACAATTCATTCAAGCTCTTATTCTGCATTTTCTTGCAATTCCAACAAGGAGTAATAGCAGAGTGATGGTAATAAGGAAGTCTCTTTGGCATGAGGACATTGTGTCCCCTTTGTATTCTGACAACAAAGGGGGAAAAATGAGACTTAATCCTTTAATGCCCATATTATATAAGAGTCTAAAAATCAAAACTGCAGTTTCTGTTTCCTTTAGAATGAAACAGCAATGACTGGCATGTTGTGAACAGGATAGGTCCCATAAATAAGCTGTCTAAAATTAAAATTCAGGTTGTGTATCATTGGGGGGGACTAGTTTAGTGTGTTTTGAGTTAATACCATGATATGAGAGGCAGGAGAGCTTATTTTTTTCCTCAAAACTCCCATGAAGCTACATCAATGGTAAACTTTTCTCTGACATTTCCAGAGGCTGCATAAATCAATTTTATGTCATCAAATTGAAATAGAGATTTCTAATATGTGATGAGTGAAATGTCAGGACAGTATTTTCATGAGATTCATGCTTGAAATATTTAAACCAACATTGCATTACTTCATGAAAATATGTGAATTTGCCTCTAAATCTGAGAGCTTTCATAATAATGAAAAAATTAATAGCTCTTGGACAGAGCAGTTTTAAACAAATTTCTCAGAGATTTCATGCATAAATGACAAAAGTTAGTGAATATATAGTTTCAACTTTTTTCATCTGAATGAGTTATTGTCATGGTTGACAAAAAAAAAAGATTCAAACTATCCAGATTCACTAACAGCAATAGTCACTTCTAATGCTTGGCTGGCTCTGTAAACTTGATATTTATTAGAACAATCTGACTATACAAGTGTGAACTTTCACACTTGTATAGTGATCACACTTGTATAGATCACTAATAAGTCTGCCTGTAACAATAAAGCTGAGCTGAGGGAGAGAATCTGCCAGGCATTTCAAGATTTGTCTCCTGAGATTGTAAAATGCGCCTGTTCTTGCTTCCGAGGTTGTCTGGAGGCTGTGATTGATGCTGAAGGTGGCTTTATTGAATAAGTTCCATCTATAAAGCACTACCTTGCTCTTGTTTCTGGAATTTTCAATTAATGTTTAAAATGAGAAATTTTAGAGATGTTTTTCCTTAATGTATTTTCCATGCCAATTCTACTCGCGCACCTTGTACAGTACAAATACTATTGCTTCAATAATTTTTCTGCAGTTGGGCAGGAGCAGGAGTCATCAAAACAAACACCATGTTAAAATGAGCCTGAATGAACTATAAACAGTAACCCTCCTACCTTGGTTGTGCAGGCCCCAGCAAGCAGTTGTTCTGGTGCTGCATAACTTATAGTACCAACTTGTGTACTATGAGGGAGAGGAATAGGTGCACACACCTCTCCAGTAGGACCAATGAGTCTTGCCAAGCCAAAATCTCCAATTTGAATACGACCATCCTCTCTATTAAAAAATATATTCTGTGGCTGAAGAAGAAAAAGAATATCAGCATTAGAGTTCACCTTTCTCCCTCCCTCATGCTTTCAAGCAAGGACCCACTTTGAGATCACGATGAACTATATCACGCTGATGAATGTGAGAGATTCCCAGAAGTATCTCATAAAAACAATCCAAGTTGAAGGCAGCATCTATGGGCTTCATCTGTCCATTGTGCTTGTCTATATAATCCCTTAGTGTTTCTCCACACAGTTCCATTTGGAGATATAGAATGGCATAAGTATCCTGTCAATGAAAAAAAGGAGATAAATCCATACTCAGATAAAAGAAGGTATTTTCTCTATTCTCTTGATTTTTCCTCTCATTTTATTTATTTTTCCCTAAAAAACAAAGGGAAGGTCACACAACCAAGGACAATATACCACAAGGGGTTAAACACTAGGCAGAGGGTGATCCTTAGATGGCATTTCCATTACCTCCCATGATCTGTCACCCCATACTACTGGCCAAAAAAAATTTCAGCCAGCAAAACTTCATATTCTAGTTAATAATTCATCCCTAAATGTATCAATACCCTGAAAACCTCCCAAGTTTCATTGCAAAAGGATGCAGACAAGTCAGTTTTGTCCTCTTAATGCAAACTTATCAGACCAACAACACAATCAACAAGATAGCCTAGGAATGAGTTGGTCCACCTCAGCCACCAAGAACGACTTCATATGTCTCAGCATATCAATCAAATACCAGAACATTCAACTGAAATGTTATTCCAAATATCATGAACAACTTAAAACAGCTCTTGATCGTTCCTATAGTGTTTTTGTTACAGCAACACTGATATATTCCCAGACATGCTCTATTGGAATTGTGTCTTGACTCTGCCCTGTCCAGCATAGGGCATTAATGCCAAATCCCTTTCAGTTTTGCCCTGGACTGCCTAGAAGCAAGACTGGATTAAGGGGGGGGGGGGCAAAGGGGACAATTGCCCCTGGCCCCACTCTTCCAGGGGGGGCCCCTGAAGGAAATTAAGAACGTTAAATATTTGCGTAAAGTAGCGAGGGGGGTAGCCTCAAGAATCCACTTGCCCCGGGCCTTGCAACATCTTAATCTGGCCCTACCAAAAAGTGTATGCTGCAATGAGATTGTGGCTTCAGCAACATGGGGAAGAATCATTGCATGCCCTGAAAGACACGATCCCCAATTAACTGACAACATTGCTGCCCTATTCACAGTCTACTTGCACCAGATCAAGTCATTGGGACTAGGGCAACTCATCATTATCCATATCATAATATGGATCCCCATCACCTTGTTTGACAGTTCTTCACAAGCATTCATCATAAAATCATATCACAGGTTGTCCAAACCTGCTTTACCTGATCATAAATCAAGCAGAACCACAACTCATTGCAAGATTCAACAATTCTCTACTATGCCTTATATCCCAATTTGCATGCATCCATGCCAACTCCAGCCTATTTAAGTTCATCATGTTCAAGTGGGGTTTTCTTTTTATTCTGCATTCTCTAAAGTTTAAGACCCTCAGATATCAACTTAACAAAATGCAGAGCAGGGAAAAAAACCCTCTTGACAGCATGAAACATGAATAATAGGCTGGAATTGGTGTGGCATACTACTAATTGGGATGAGGTGTGGTAGAGATGTCTAACTTCCTGCAAAGAGTTGCAGTTTTGCTTGGTTCCTGATCAGCTGAAACAGACTTGGAGACAACTTATGTTTCAGCAACCAGATGTTTTGCTGAATGAGAAGTATTTGTAAAAAATAAAGAAAGTCACAAAAATACCCCTACCAAGACTCTTGACAGGGCACTCGGTCTGGTGTCTTGAATGAAGCAAGCAACTTGATTCTCTGATGGATGTTGAAAGGATGCAGTTGCCCCTTCAATGCTACAGCTGGAGTTGCTCCCAGTAGTCTTACTGCCAGTGCTTGAAGGACTCATACTGGAAGAGTACCCATTTTCCCAAAACTTCCCTTTCAGCTGCTCAACTGAACAGCCATTGAGGGAAATTTCACCATCCTCTGAGTGGGGTAAGGCAACAGCACCACTTCTTTCAGTACCACCACAAACTGACATGACTTCACTTGGATAGATTTGCCTCTTTGCATTAGATCCATTTCGTTTCCTGCAAGAAAGATGAGACATACTCTGAATAGTTCAGGAACACATTCAGTCAGAGTTGCCTATGCATATCAACAAATGAAGAAACAATACTGAAATACAAAAGTCATTCAAAAAGTATTAACCCTTTGTAATTCTTTGTTGGACCTGTTCCAACATACAATTTTCCCTGTTCTACTCTGAGGTTGGACATCCTGCAGCATAAATTTCACGTATGTGAATTCCTGCTAGCTCTGATGTTGGAGCTCTTACAGCAAGCACAGAGAGGAAGTTCAAGTGAAATGAGGAAGACAGAATCTTTATACATTGTAATTACCATGGCAATAATAAAGAAATAATATAATTCACTTGAATGACGTTTAAAATAGTAGAAAACAAAATCCTCCAGTTTTCCTTATTTGTGCTGAAAATAAATGGAGTTGATGGGTATACTCCCTGTGATGAATGTGGATTGCAAAGGGTTGATGTCTACTTTGAAACATCATAAATACACAAAAAATTATTATTTTCAAGCTCTATCAATTAACAGTCACTTCAGTCACTTATTGCATCTCATGAAAGACATGAAAAACAAAATAGCCCTATATGTAAATTTAGGGATAAATTGGTCAGATCAACCATCATCACAGGCGTTCACCCAGGATGACAATGATTTCAAATTTTTGGGACACTACTGGGTGTTGCACATAGATAGCCCCCCCCCTCCACAGCTTAAAATACAAGAGCCAGGAAAAAAACTCATATATCATGAGAAAGAGCATTCATTTTCGAATCGAAACATGTACTTCTCATAATTTATATACACCCTGGCTATGTCTCTGAGAGCTTTAATACAAGCGGGGTAAGATGAAAAGAGTTGCTTGAATAATAGGCTTGAATAAGAGTTCAGTGTCATCTTCCACATCCTTTAACACCCTAGTGATGTTGCTTTGCAAGGCTTCCTGGGAGAATCCATGCTGCTTGTTCTCCATGTACATGAGCCTCAACTCAGTCTTTCAATGTTCTCAGCCACATTCAGATCAGGAGAGTTTCCTGGTCATTCTGCATTTCCAAAAAAAAAAATCAATCCCCAAGTTTTTCAGCAATTGCTATGTGATCAAGGCTTTGGAAAACAAGGCTTCATCAGACAGAAGCTGAATGGTTAATCTTTTTCTAAACCCATGAGCGGGTAACAAATTCAGCTCTGGCATCATCATCATGAGCTTGAAACGTAATAGCACATTCATTGAATTCAAGTTTTTCACCATCATATGACATCAGAAAAAAAACAAAATGGTGTGGAATAGATTCTAAATTGAACAAGGATTCCAAATACTAATATATTTAAAATGTTTTCCTAGCTCCTATAGTTTAGGTTGTGGAGGGGGGGGCTATCTATGTGCAACACTCGGCACATAAGGTGGTAGATTGATTTGCTTGGATGTATGTTTAAGCAAGCCTTGACAGTGTCTATTGTCCTTTTGTCATGGCATGGGGCACAAGAACACCATGTACATGATCTTGTCTACAGATGGTGCCACCTTGAATTTTCTTACTAGTGGTGCACCATCTCAGGATTTTAGAGGTACTAAGATTTCATCCATTATGAAAATCCTAGTCAGGAACACATCACTATCTCAATAAAAGTAATGCACAAGCTGTTGACAGACACCCACCTGCACAACCATCTGATTTACAGTGAGTTGCCCTTGAACCCATTAAGATGACAATCAGAATTGAATGAGCATATCCCACAGAAATGCCATGATTTTCTACTATTTTTTTAACTGATTTTTTTAACACCTGCCTTCCATAACAATGCTGTTCTCACTGTCACAAATTCTGTTACATACACTATAAGCAACCACCCACTGATCAGATCACCATCAACAAGCCACCTAGCATCTTAGAAAGCTTTCACCAATCTCATTTTGGTGGGATTAATTAAGTTTCTCCACAAACTTCATTTAGTTGCTGAAGAATCTCTACTGCCTTCCTCCCTTTTTCGGTGTCAAGAACTTGACAGGATCTCTGCCCAACTTCAGAAAATCCTGCCATCTTCAGCCATTGTTAAAAAGACTGAATGACTCAAATAAACAATGCATAGCCATCATAGGCTTTATGTTGTATGCATTGCTCCATCTAGAGTGTGTCCTGTGAAAGCTTTTTACTTCCCAAGCTGGAGGTTAAAAATCAAATACTTCAATTGAATTCATCATCCAGACCACAGTAACAAAAATTTTGTGACAGAAGCTTCCAATCAATCCAGTAATCTGCACTGGTTTTAAGTGGCCAAAACATAAAAAGCTGGAGGTTAAAAATCAAATACTTCAATTGAATTCATCATCCAGACCACAGTAACAAAAATTTTGTGACAGAAGCTTCCAATCAATCCAGTAATCTGCACTGGTTTTAAGTGGCCAAAACATAAACCAACCAACAACAAACAACCTAACAGCTACATGAATTTGCTTTCTCATTAGCAAATCTCTTTGTTCATGTCAATGTTCACTAGCCATTCTGTTCCAGTCCATTCCAACCTGATATCACCCCAGGTTAATTTTTCATCTCATCAATACCCTTTGGGTAAGTGCTTCCTGGCACCTTCTTTCCAATAACCTCTGCCTTACAAAATAACCTGGGAGAAGGAAGGTAAGAAGCACTTATTCCATAATTATTTGTAGAAGGAGGCTGGATTCAACTAAAGGTTAAGAATATCTAGGAGTAGATCCTAGTCAAGGCAAAGGAGGGGTCATTTGAGCCCTGCAGACATGCACCCCCAGTGGTTCATCAAGACCAACTGGGACAAGAAAAGCTAGGCACCATGAATGCAGTGCACAAGACTATTCCAGGGAGGATGGGGGAGGGAGTAGCATGTATAGCCAGTTATTGTTGGGTTATGGTTCTGACTTCTGTGACCTTAAATCCTGTGTAGCTTTACAGCTTGAATTTTAGGGAGATGGCTCAAGCTGAAACTCTGTCTTACCAGGATGCCATCCCACCACATTCCTCTGGTTTTGCTTTTGGAGGGATGGCTTAGGTAAAAAACTGGCATTGCCAGAATGTCATCCCACTGCATCCTGTCCAATTTGAGCACTGCTGCTTTGGCAAATCTTTGCTTGAACAAGTTCAGACTTCCAGCACCATCACATCACAAGGAGTTGCTTAGCATAAATGAGAAATTCCAGCCTGTATTGCTCCAACAATTATTGGCATCAGATTGAGAAGTACTCTTTGAAGGCATCTCATGGTTCACAAGGTTTTTTGAGTTATAGCCAGTTCACCCAAACCTGGGAGTAATTCACATAAGGAAAGGGGCCCTTTGGCATGTTAGAAGAGGCTGATAGATTGAAATGAGGAAGAAAGAGAGATTTTCAGGGGATGAATTGTCCCAGGTTGAGGCAAACAACTTGGTTCAGCAAAAAGGGGGATGGGATTTGCTACATCCTGCTCCACTTAGCAACACCACAGCAACTTCACTAACCTCATCCCCTCCTGAGTTGGCCCAGTGTAGAGATCCAACACTACCAGGTATGGGCAAACAGGCTATGTCCAAGAAACACAACCATATGACATCAATTTTAAATGACTGCCACAAAATTGGAATGGAATCTTCATGAACCAAGCCAAATGAGAGTATTTAAATGCATGGAAGCAATGTCAAATTAGAATGCTATTATAACTCATTTAATTTCCAGAATGGAACAATTAACCAGACACTTTTTAATCAACTTTCTTGACAATGAATTATCAGCATATTGATCAACATCAGCAACTGGTTCATTACCAATATTTTCCAATTGTGGTTCTCAGTACTGCCCTCTCAATTCAATGATTTTGGGTTTGTTGTATCAATAATACAGCATCCAGGCTACATGATGACCTACTTCTAGGAGCACTCAGTAACAAATATTCTGAAAGGATTTATTATCCAAATGTACCAAAGGGAATGAAGCAGTTTGCTATATAGGCACCCACCATTATGACAAGATATACCTTAAAAGGCTGAGCTGACAATGTTGCTGCCCTTTTTAATTTGCACTTATGTCAACCTTCAGGAGGAATCTTGACCATCATGCCTACTTTCACAAACCACCCCCAGTAGTTCCTCCTCCCATCTGTCTTTTCTTGTGCCAATCCCTGTACAGAAGTTGAAGAGGCACTGGATATGGTTTGCATGGAAAATGAATTCCTGATTATATAAGGTGACCAAAAAGTCATGACCCATTTGTTTTGCTGAATAATCAATTTTTGTGAAAAGTTAAACATTTGAATTTTTTTGCTGGTGTTCCTGGAAGGTTAGGAGATTAGTTTGAACTGTGGATAAATAGAAGACAGAATATGATGCAGCAATTGTAGAAATGTATTTCAGTAACAGGAAATCAGTGGTTGTGTAACACAGATTTCTGTGAAGGACACTCATGCACACCAGACTGCTTTTTGAAGGCACATAGAGTGGTAACCACTGATTCCCTATTACAGAAATGCAGTTCTTCTATTGTTGCATGATGTTCTGCCATACACTTATTATCAATGGTTCAAACTAATCTCCCAACTGTCCCAGAAAATCTGCAAGAAATTCAAATTTTTTACTTTTCACAAAATGTGATTATTCAGCAAAACAAATGGGTCATGACTTTTTAGCCACCCTATACAAGTTTTGACAAAACCACTTAAAACTCACCAAGTCCTCCTTTGTTGAGCTGAGAAGTACTGATACAGTTCAGAAGGTCCAAGCCTCTCTATCCAAGCATTTTTGTAGCTAACTATGCTGAGATGACTCAAGGAAGACAGGGTGTGCACCTCCCTGATCACACGCAACAAAGACTTGTCCTGATACCTGAATCAAGGTGACATGAATAAATCCATATGAATGATTTCAACAAGAAAAAATTTGGTGTGGACAGGCTAAGATCAATGGCCCATGTGGTGAAAGTCTCCACCCCCCAACATTTCTTGATTAAAATGTTGCCAAAACCAATTAATCACTCATCTGTCTAGAGCAGTGGTTCCCAACCTTTTCTTGCCGCGACCCTAAATTGGGCATCGACAGGACCTCGTGACCCTCTGGCTTATGACAAAATTCAAATATGTATATGAATAGAAATACATACATGTATATGTAATTATATTGATTTTATTATTTATTTACAAGTATATTCATGTATCAATTATTTAAAACTAAAGAAATTTATTGAGAATTCAGGTACAAATCAAGTGTATTGAATGTCTTGATGCATACAAATGCACATTAAACATCATCAGTAGTTCAATCATATACAAAAATTAATTTGACAACAGGCAAGAATGCTAATTGAAACGAAAAAATGCTTTAAATATTTCTCAGAAATCCCCATTTAACACAGACACCCATATCAACAAATAATTTTGATGAAAATGAGACACTTCATGTGAAGACGTTAGAAATCCTTCGGAATTCAGTGGCTACCCTGATGCTGCATTTTCTCGGTCAGTTTAGTTATCCTCGGCTGAATATTGATAGAGAGGGCACAGCGAAGGTCATGCTGCGGGTCAAGACGATTTCTTATGAAGACATTAGAAATCCTTCGGAATTCAGTGGCTACCCTGATGCTGCATTTTCTCGGTCAGTTTAGTTATCCTCGGCTGAATATTGATAGAGAGGGCACAGCGAAGGTCATGCTGCGGGTCAAGACGATTTCTTGCTCTTGTCTTGATTACAACCAGACTAGAACATCCTGCCTCACAAAGATACGTAGTTGGAAAAGGAAGCACAGAGACAGGACGACAGGGGTACCTCTTCTGTCTCACGAGACAGAACAGGTTTACCCCGCAGCTGGGCCCATAACTGTGACCAAGAAACTTGAGCAAATTTCTCTCGCAGCACTTGATTTTCCTGGAGGTCAAGGAGTTCTTCCTGGAATCCATCAACATCATCTCCAACTTCATGGACGTCCAAATCAAATGGATTTCTCCCCAGCTGTGCTTCTGAAGATCGACATTTTCGGGCAAGTATCGATCCATCTCTGTTTGAAGTTTCGCCAAGTGTTCTTGAAAAATCGCAGCCAGGTCTGTGACAGATACTTCTGCTGCGTCTTCAAGGAATTCATTCAGCCCAGGAAATGCTGCAATTTTTCCCTTTGACATCTTTCCCCGCCAATGGGCTAATTTCCTTTTGAATGAAGAGATCTTCTCACCAATATCAACCATGGTCCAATTTCGCCCCTGCATTTCAGCGCTCAATTCGTTCAAGTGCTGGAAAATATCACTCAAGTAAGCCAGCTTTGCTAGCCAGGTTTCATCCTATTTTCCCTTTGACATCTTTCCCCGCCAAAGGGCTAATTTCCTTTTGAATGAAGAGATCTTCTCGCCAATATTAACCATGGTCCGATTTCGCCCCTGCATTTCAGCGCTCAATTCGTTCACGTGCTGGGAAATATCACTCAAGTAAGCCAGCTTTGCTAGCCAGGTTTCATCCTTGAAACGGTTAGCCGACGAGTGATTTTTCCCTTTAAAAAAAAATTCCATTTTCGTTCTGAGCGACATGACACGTGAAAGGATTCTCCCACGAGAAAGTCAGCGAACTTCTGTGTGATAGAGCAAGTGCTGGTGCTCAGATCCCATTTCTTCGCACAAAACACGGAACAATCGAGAATCCAGTGACCTCGCCTTGATGAAGTCCACAATTTGGATAGCATCCTTCAGAACCGAGTAAAGCTCTGGTTGCATTTCCTGTGTCGCCAAGTTCTCTCGATGCAAGAAGCAATGAATGACGACGACTTCAGGGGTGACCTCTTTCACTCGCGTGCAAAATCCCACTCGACTTCCCATCGTGGCTGGGGCTCCATCAGTACAAACAGCACAG